ATGCAGATGTCTAATCGTTAATGACATATGCTATTAAAATTGGTGGAGTAGCTGCTGATGAAACATTTAATACAACTGATGAACTTATTGCTAAATATAAACATCATAATATTCGTCTTCATTGTTTATTAAACCCATGGTCATCCATGCTCAATCTTACCAATAATAACAATGACCATGTTGAATCTTATGATCGTAAAATAACGAATTTTATTCATGATGTTGGTGATAGTCTTAAGAAAGCACAAACATTAAAACTCATTGATCCGTACATCGTTTTGAATGAATATGATAACGAAATGAATCAAACATTCTCCAAAACTAAAAAAAATATCCATAGTGCACTATGTAATGATATTGATTTATCTGGTGCTATGCAATGGATAATTAGTTTAATTGATATTACAACAGAATATATTAATGGTGAAAAAATTCATGTCAAACTGGTTCAAAATGTTTATGATAAAATCATAAATTTATTAAAAATTTTTGGATTGAACTATCCGGATGTTTTTTATTGTAAAAAAAATCTTGATGATGATAAATAAAAGATTGTTTCAATAAACAAGAATAAACAAGAACGTTCAAAATAACATGTTTTTTTTTATCGATATAAAGAGGATGTTAATCATATTGCATCAACGATGGATGTTGTCAGATTGTATGTCAAATATAGAAACTCCTATTTCCATTAAAAACACAATGCTATAATAGAAAATATCATAATTAAATATTTTCTTTTCCTTTTTCGATTACTTGATGAACAATTTAACATGAACGAATAAGATGTTCTGATCCAATTGTCCAACCTAATTTTAAACCTGTTGATGAAAATTTTTTCCCTCACTTCCATTTGTTAATGTTTTCTGCCATATATTCGGTAATGTTGCTATACGAATATGTTTTTTATTTTTATCAGATGTTATCCATTCGTAAACTTCATCGGAAATACAAATAACATTATATTTTTGACATAAACTTGCAATATCTTCAAGTTCTTCAAATGTAAAAATCTGAAAACATTTCATTTATAAATATTTTTTTTCAAATGAAGTAGACACATACTTTTCCAAGAGGTCTATTTGATGTATTTAGTATAATAAGACGTGTGCGAGAGAATTAAACATTGATTCGAATTCATTTTATCTAATATCCAATCAGCACGGGAAGAAATATCTCGAATAATTGATTCGGATTTCTATAGAAAAGTTAAGATGTTAAATGAAAAGAATTCGAAATGAAAATACGGAGTCGAAGTGGAATACATCGAACAATGCCATCAGCCGAACGAATCATTGGTTCATAACAATCAAAATATGATTCGATTAAAATACCTACAGAGATTTGAAAGTTTTAGAAAGAATTCTTGAAGATAATGAATTAATATTTATTTCATTGCCGGGATTAATAAAACAATGAATAGCATTGAAAATTGATGGATAAGCACCACTAGTAATAAAAATTTCTTTGCATAGATCGAGTTTTCGATTAAAATATAATGAATAAATATTTGATATAGCTTGAACTAATCATGGATAACCCTATTTTATTAATATTAATTGAACAAAAATCTCGATTCAAATCAAATTTACAAATCTTCGAGTATATTGATGTAAAGCTGTATTACGCTAATTAATTGTTTTTTTTTTAATAAATATCCAGAATATATTCTAGTGCATTATAATCTATAAAATCTTGACCAAGATTAATAGCATTGTGTCACAGCTATAATGCGCCAAATTCACGTCTAAAAGAAAATATTTCATATAGATAATGAAATTTGTAATGTTTTACCAAATATTTTTCTCTAAAGCAACATAACATCTTGATAATAAATTGCAGATGTTTTTGTTTGTACTGGTTCTTCATTTGGGGAAGCCATTATTGTTGATAGAAGACGCTTGGTGCAACTGCGATTTAAATACACTCTTGTCAGTGATAGATCTAGGATTTTTATGAGTCAGTGCGATTTTGGTCAGATAACGTATTATCGAAGGTTTTAGTAATATGAATGTGAGTCTGAAAAATTTCTATAAATCGGATTCGAACGGTTCGCCTTCGACTTCGGCAACTATCCAACCATTTCAGACGATGTCGAGGAGTATTTAGGTAATTGTCGGAGCATTTCTTATGGTTTATGGAAAATCATGAAAGCGTCGTAACGTTCGATCGAGTTCGAGTATTTCTGAACATCGTTGACATTTTTCTAGGAAGCATCAGGTCGTTCACTTTTTGGATTATTTTTTCATTGTGTGTAGACCATTCATAGCTAACCTTGAAATTCTCTCTTTTGGCTTACTACTCTCTTTTATACATTACATTACCTAAAAATAACTGAACTCGAGTTCGAGGCCAAACCTTCGGGTTCGATGCATGCCTAGTTCTATTACTGAATAGGAATTTCTTTAAAGAAATATTACGACTCTCGAATCTGATATTGAGCATTGACTGTAAGTTTCTCTTGATTATAGATTTTGACAACATCGAACAGTGGTCGCAAGCGTTAAAATTTATTTTGGATTTCGCGTGTTTATCATTAAGAATATTAACGTTTTATGGGAAAAAAGTTCTCATATCTCGTAATGAATAAATTCTATAGTTAGATTCTAAGCGATCACGATTATCGACTCGTTTTGCTACTGTATCGCAACAGCTTCAACAAAGAAGACAAACATTTATTTAAATTATTTCTGCTAGATATGAGGAAGCAAGCATTTTTTCCTTCAATTTCGATTGCAGATAATCAGCATATAACAATACAGACATAAATCACTCGAAGAAATGAGAATATACAGGTTTTCTTCAAGCCTGGTTCTTTATCTCTATATGTAATTATCAATAGTACTCTTAAAACACACTAGAAGTTTTAGTAAAAGCCCTTTTTTGTTTCAGTCATTTATTTGAAATCGAGGAACCAATTCTAATCAAATCCTTATATGTCATTCCAGAGCTTCGAATTACTTTTCTAGAAAAGAGACTTTTACTATATTCAATCTAAAAATCTACCCATAATATTCAATACTTCAGTTAAACTAAGTAAAACTTTTTTTTTTGAATGTAGTAGTGTACTATTTGATAATAATTCTGTTTCAAAATCACATAAAATTCCAAGTAATTTCGATTGTAATGCTTTATAAACACATTCTTTTGAAATAACATTTTGAATAATCTTTATCCATTGTTAATAATATTCCATCTAATATACCAACAGCCATTTGTAAACTTTTCATAACATGTTCAGGATGTGTACTAATAGAAAGTAATAATTTACTAAATATAGGTGAACTACCAAAACGGAATACAGCAGCTAAATCAGCTCCAGCTTCTTATTCACTAAATTCATTTACTTCATAAACACGAGGTATAGAATAATCATCATTATTATTTTCAAGACGTACATGTCTCTATACATGTGAATAAATCACTGGAAATGCATCAAAAATAACTTTTCTTTTTCGACATTTTAATAGCTGTTCGAATATGTTGAACAACTCGACTAGCATTTAATGAACGTTCTTCAACAATCCATGGTAATAAATCAGGTAAAATACGTTTTAAGTATATATTAAATGAACTTCCATTTTGCTGCATCATACTAAATAATAAATGTAAATGACGTAACAAATACTTAGGGGTATCCAAAAGTAGTGGCAACGACATTTTATTACCATATTTTAGGGTTGATAAAAAATTCTTTTTACATAGGATGATAGAGCGGAAAATGCTCTATCTTTCTATGCTATTTGATCGTACTTCGCTTGACATCATAATAACAAAATTCTAATAAAACTAGTTTGCCTAACATGTGTATCGGTTACAGAAGTTCACAGTGTCTCCAATATGCATTTTTTTCGTTATCTTTTCTATGTTTTTCTTCTTTCCTTTATTCTTTTCTCTCGTCTCTTCTGAGACTTTATCGTTTATCATATAAATACAAAGATGCATGCCTCTTTTTGTGAACGTGGCATGCACTATTCTATTCGATAGAAAGTAAAAGAAGTAGAGTTAAATCGGCTTTTAACACTCTTCATTTTTGTTTTCAATGAACACAGAGAATTTTCGTTTCTACATTAAAGTGCGTACTGCACTAAATATTGAAGCAAGAACTATTCACGACGAGCTGCATACGGTTTTTGGTGATGAAGCTTCTTCTTATCGAACAGTTGCCAGATGGGCTCAATGGTTTCGTGAAGGTCGAGAAGAAATTGAAGATGAAGAACGATCTGGAAGACCTGTAACTGAGACTACTCTTGACAATATCGAAGAAATTCGTAGTATTATTAACGATGATCCTCATGTTACAATAGCAGAATTACAGGAGCATACTGGTCTAAGCTATGGCACCGTTCATCGAATACTATCGGATCATCTGGAACTTAGAAAAATTACTGCTCGTTACATACCCAAACAGCTAATGGATTATCAACGAAATGAACGAGTTCGAATATGCAAAGAAAATCTATCAAAATTTACAGAAGGAGGATGGCGTTTGTCTGACGTGATAACAGGTGATGAATCGTGGTTTTTCCATCAGCAAACTGATCGAAAAGTTTCCAATGCTGCTTGGGTGGCAAAAGATGATCCTCCACCAACAATAATACGACGAAATAAGTTTGCTCCTAAGACTTTATTTTGCATTTTCTTTAAATCAACTGGTCCTCTTCTAATCCATCGTGTCGAACGTGGACAGACTATCGATCGCCATTATTACATCGAAAATTGTTTACAACCTGTCATCGAAGAAATTAAGAAACAAAGACCTTCCTCAGGTACTCATGCTATCAAACTTCATCATGATAACGGACGAGCACATGTTCATCAAGATGTCCTCGATTATCTTCGTTCTGAGAAAATTACCATAGTACAACATCCGCCCAATTCTCCAGATCTATCTCCCTGTGATTTTTGGTTATTCGACCTTATCAAACAAAATCTAACTGATCAACCTAATTCCGAAACGTTACATCACGCCATAACCGAGTTTATGTATTCTTTAGATAAAGACGAGTATAGAAAAACGTTTGAGAAATGGATTCAAAGAATGCAGTTGTGTGTAGATAATCAAGGCGATTACTTTGAACATTTAATCAAATAAAACTTATTGAACTTGCTCATGTATTTTTCGATTTTCGAGTATGCCGATATGAATAAACGATAAAGTCTCAGAAGAGACGAGAGAAAAGAATAAAGGAAAGAAGAAAAACATAGAAAAGATAACGAAAAAAATGCATATTGGAGACACTGTGAACTTCTGTAACCGATACACATGTTAGGCAAACTAGTTTTATTAGAATTTTGTTATTATGATGTCAAGCGAAGTACGATCAAATAGCATAGAAAGATAGAGCATTTTCCGCTCTATCATCCTATGTAAAAAGAATTTTTTATCAACCCTAAAATATGGTAATAAAATGTCGTTGCCACTACTTTTGGATACCCCTAAGTATAACTGAAACTACGAATGAAGATGATTTATCATCACGTTCTGTACGTCTTGGTGCATTACAAACAGGTATACCAGCTATTGGAACATTTGCTATTGGTTATTATATAGATTGGCGTGGTTTTACAGATTTATGTTGGATAGGTTTAGGATTAGAATTAATATCAATATTAATTGTTATGTTTATTTTTAAATCAATAAATTCTAATCGTAATGAACGTATACCTTTATTAATATCAATAAATGAAAATGAATTTAAAGAATTATCATCAAATACATCTAATAATTTTTTTCAAGTTTGTAAAGTATTTCATTTTAATAAACGACGAACATTAACAAAATCAATAAGTCTTTTATTAACATTATTTTCAAATATTTTTTATACATTAGCATCATCAACATTTGCACCATTTTGTTGGACATCAAAAAATATTGGAAATTATTCAGCATTAGCAGCTATATCTTATGCTATATTAAGTGTACTTGGTATGCAAGCATTAACACATGCTGGTGCAAATGATGCTATTATTTGTTTAATAAGTCATATATTTTTTTTTATATCATCTATATGGTTAGCATTTGCACGTCATAATTGGGAATTATATGCTGGATTATTAATAAGTGCTTTTTCAGGTTATCAAGGTTCATTAACAATGTCAATGATGACAAAATGGTTAGAACCATCGGAACGTTCAAATGCATTTATATTTGTAACTGAAATTAATACAATTATGACAACATTTGGTACAACATTTTTTACTTGGGTTTATGCACGTACAGTACTTAATTATCGAAATTTAACTTTACTTCTTGGTGCTGGACTTTGTATTATTCCAACAATTTTAAATTTGTATGTATTTGATTGATATTTAACCAAAAAAAAAATTATTATTATTTTGTGAAACACAATCTAAAAGAAATGTTGAAATATAGGTCGGAGATGTTTATCACGACTGAAAGTCTACCATGGTCAAGATAATTTTTTAGAAATCCTTCGAGGAAAATTGATTTTAATATAAAATGAATACAGAAATGTAGTGTATATATTTAAGGTTAGGAAAGATGTATGTGAGTACGGGTGAAGATAAGAGACGCATTGACACCAATACTTTCACTTATACTCTTATAGAGTAGGAAACTGCAAAGTGGTTTCGATCCCGTTGGGACCAGATTTTAATTTTAACGAGACCGGAACTTGAAACTTACTAAAACTGGTCCTATTGTATTTTCTAATGACTACATATTTTCATACTTATTATGTTGTTCTGACTAATTGACCCATTTTATTTATGATTGAGATAAAATTATGAATTTGTAAAATCACTTTTTTCGATCCTGAACCGGAACCATCTTAGAGATTCCTACTAAAAATAGTACTCATAGTTCTACAGATTCTAAATTTTGACATTATCAAAATGACTCTTGAGAGAACACCGACTGACGCTCATTCATTTAAATTTTGTATCTATGCAAGAATTGTAAGCTCTGAGAGAATTTTCTAAGTCACACAGTCAGAACTAAGAAAAATTTTGAATGAGACAAGAAAGTGATTTTAGTTTTGATGTATGCATATAAAGGTATGCTCGTACTGTTAATTTTTCAAAATCATCAATGTTTATTTTAATATGTATTCAAAGAATCATACAGATTATTTTAAAAAATCGTTTTTTTTTTCTAGAAACGAAATCGGGATCAGAAGCAATAAAAATTTTGACTGAGATCGGGATTGGAACCAAAAAAAGGTGGTCCCCACCGTTCGCTATTATAGAGTAATACGATGAATCACGTGACCTTCCCTGCAAATGCATACACTTCATTCCTATATACTTTGCATAATAAAATGAATTTGAGCTCATATAATTCGTTGCATAATGATGTGCAGAATTTTGAATTTTCTGGAAGTTAGAATTTACCGTAACACAACATCTCTGCTGTTGATATACGATCACAGATAGTTTATAAATAATGTCTCGTTATAATAACTCAACTATTTCCTTATTGCATTTCTAGAGGATTAAGTAAAAGAATAATGAAGAAATGTATCCTAAAATAGATTAGAATAAAACAATCTCGCTGTGATAAGCAACAACACCTACATCGTGTTTCACATTTTAATTTCATAAGGATTATGCTAACAGCATCTTTTTCTTTTTATTTAGATGTCTTGCTTTGATAACACGAAAAATATCTGAAGAAGATCTACCGCCATTATCTGAAACAGATGTTGAACCAGCACCATTACGTTTACCGAATAATGGACCACTACATGCCGGTGATGCGACTTGTGTTGTTATTCCATCTCGATCATTAACGTCTTCCTTACGTACACCAAATGTTGAAAGATCTCGAAGTAATTCGATTGATGATAATGAAACTGAAGAAGTATTGGATCCTTCAACCAATGATTTAATTATTCTTTGATCTCATACATATTTATTTTTGTTTTTTGTAAATAGATACTCAAAAGTCAGAAGGAATCTATGATGATTCTATAAAAAAAATGTAAAAAGACATTAAAATTGAAAACGCGTTAAATACCTAAATTGAAGACTTTGAAAAATTATTTTAGAGTTCAACTCTCGAGAATAAATATGTTTACAAGAGAAATTGATTGATAAGAAGCTTTCTGTATGATTGCTACATCAAAATACTTAATTGATTCAATTTCCTTTTTTTTATAGGATTTTATATTCAATGGCAATTCTGTCTTACTCTATGAAGACTTTGTTATTTTTCTAAACAGTTATTTCTCTAAATATTCGTATTGATGAATATTTCTTTTGCTATGAAAAATTCCGTTGGCAAACAGAATCAATGCCATAAACCTTTGTGTTCAACGATAATCATTAATATATTATTAGTAGAGAGAGAATTAGTTTTACTGTGTTATTATGTCGAACATTAGTAAGATAAAGTGTTCTGTCATCCGTTGATCATATTGCTACTAACGTGAGATCGCTTCGAAGTAATAAAAAGTTGTTGAAACCAGACTTGTGTCATTAGGTAGAGTCTACCGAGAGTAGAGCAAAACCTATAATGGTTCGTTCTCTTATTGCTTTCTTCTTGAGTTATGACAATTTTACTGACAAAGGAAGGTTCTCGAGTAATAAATTGCTTTTAAGCTGGAACTATATTCAATCGATAGGGTCTAGTGAGTAAATAAATATCATAGAGTGATTCGATCTGCTGGCCCCTAGTTTTCCAACGAAATAAGCTAGTCTAATCGGTGCCTTTATGAGATTAAAGTTTCAGATCGAAATTCGAAATCTCAGCAACAATGGTCCGGCAGCGCGAATCATTTTAGGATATTTACACACTCACTAGATCCTATCGTTTGAATATAGTTTCAACTTGAAAGCTATTTATCATTTAAATACCTTTCCTCGAGGGTGTCTGACCTATTGCGTAATATATCATTAAAAATCCAATGTCGCTATGTTGACCTGAAGTTTTAATCATGAAAAACTCTTATAATTCCTATCATATAATAAAAGGTTCATGTAGAATGAATATTGTCTTATTAAGATACCAGATCCTCAACCAATCAGCATATTTTAGAAATGATTCGGAAAAATCCAGTTTTATTGTAAATCTATTATGATAAGGACTATAAAATCTCTTCATGATCAAAATTGTGATAGAATATTCTGCACCAAATTAGAAACTTTGTAAAATTATCATAATTCAAAAAGAAACTAGTAAACGAACCAATCATCATAGATTTTGCTTAACGACTCAAGTCTGACTGAAATTTCGTGAAATAAATCATGGCTTACATTATCGGTTTGTATAATCCATAATCATGCAAACGACTTGTTCATATATTGATTATCTGAGGTACAAATGTAGAATTGATGTTTATTTAATTTCAATTGGTGAGGCCTATTGCTTTATGGAATTGTGACAATGTTCAAACGTTGTTACAAAGGTCCATGTTTCTATATGATCAATCTTTTTTTTTGAAATTTCGGCACAAAGCTTTGTTTTTTTTTCTCAACGCACTCCATAAAACCAAGTTTTTTGAAGTGAGAACTCTATTTTTATTCGAAATAATGGAAACGAGTTTCAACAGCAACATTGATTAGATCGAATACTGCTATCATCTTTCAAAGTTTTCATTTCAGCAATGATCAGTAACCAGAGATGGGCAACTCCGGGTATGTACCGCTCCAACTCCGCACAACTCCGCTCCGATTTTCAAAAATTCCACTCCAACTCCAACTCCAACTCCTGATTGATTTTTTTAACTCCGCTCCAACTCCAACTCTACCTAGTTAAAACCCAACTCCAACTCCGATTTAACTCCAATCCAACTCCGACTCTACTAACAATGGAGGTGTGTGTGATGTAACTCAAGGAGATAGGACA